GAGCTGTAAACAATCAGCATCATCACTGGTGCTGAAGCAAATAATGAAGCAACAAGATGAGCAGTGGCCCAGCCTCACTGGGGCCCAAACCTCTGGTTGATGCTCCTTTCATATTTTATCATTTATTCAATAGTCTAGGGCTGATTATGATTTGACCAGAAATTGACTTTAAACAGATCGGACAGCTTTATCTAATTAAAATTAGAATTGTTTATTACTATAATTATTATTATGTATGTTGACGGAATTTGACCACTGCATTTAACCCACCCAGAAAACAGTAGTATAGACATCAATCTACAGACTTATTTTAAGTCATATGTTCACATAGGGCCACACAAAAGTATGTGACAGCCACATTTGGCCCCCAGGCCTTAGGTTTGACATGCTTAAGGCTGTACACTATAAAACTGCCAAGTGAGGAATTTTACTTGCCCTAACTGTTTCATCTTAGTGTTTTTCATACATGTGTTCCTAGTTTCAGTCTGGGTTAGTACGACATCCAAAAGGTTGTGAGTTTGAATACGAGTCACTGGAGAAAGTCCAAGTCGGGTCCCCAAGGTTCACTCTCTGAGTCAATGTCCAGTCACTGACATGAAGACCACAACACTACCACGTGGATTCTGTCCAATCAGAATTATATAAACATGTTACTACGTCCAACATCTGCTGTGATTAACTTCAGGGGAAGAAAATACTGAGGTTTTAAAAAAGATATTTTTCTTAAATATTCCTCATCAGTGATCCTGATTCCTTCATTTCTCGGCAGTGTACAACCACATAAACCACCATGTTTTTCACAGTAGACGTACTATTTTCAACTTGGCACTTGATTGACAGGCCTGTGGCCTAGTGATTAGAGAACCAGACTGGTGATGTGAGGACTGCTGGTTTGATAACACCCACTACTGCTGAGAAAGACCACCATCTCCGTTGTGTGTATCAGTGTGTACTTTACATGTACAACGACAAGTAAATCTGCTTCTTGTTCTACTCTCTGCAACCTTTTCATGTTGTTTTTCTCCTTCTCCTGGAGGATACACAAACACATACCTGTGGCACCGCACTGCTGCCAAATATCCCTTTAAGAATGGCCAGGCAGCGTCCAACGATGACATCATCGCTGATGTTCTCCATGATGCCTGCGGCCTCACCGGCCATCAGGGCGAGGAGGATGGGAGCTGACGAGAAAGAAGTCGCGTGTGAGTTGGTTGAGAACACAGGTACAGTTGGACGGTGCTGCTAACGTGTGTTAGCATCAGGTTAGCACTGAATATAATGATAAGGTGACGACACACAGAGAACATTAAAAAAAAAAATTACATGATGCTCCTCACCTTTGTACAGGTTCCAGAAGAGAAAGAGCTCGCCTCGACTTGCTGTGGTGGAGCCGACATGACCGAACAGGTTGACGCTTGGATCCCAGAAGACCCGGTCAAAACACAACACCACCTGTAGGCAGGGAGGAATACAAACACACACACATAAAATAAAGTCACGCAGTAATAAAACTTTTCGTCATTTTATATTTATGAGTTTAGAGTCTATGGGAGTATCTGAACATTTTCAGGCCACAGCAGCGACTGCAGTGTGAAAGGTGGAGCTCCACCTGCTGGTGGTGAGACAACAGCAGCAGGTCAGATTGTGCAATGATGCAGTGTTTTATCCTGAACTGCAGCAGTGAGAGGAAATCAAACACTATGCTGCAGAGAGGGTGAGTGAGTGAGTGAGAGAGAGAGAGAAAGAGAGAGAGTACAAGTTCTGCTGGGTCAGAACAGGAGTGATGCAGAACTCTCTGGAGAGATTATTAACACTGGCAAAAAAAGATTCTTTTCCATTTCACACAACAGACGACGACTCTCTCTCTCTCTCTCTCTCTCCTCCCACACACTGCCCTGTCACTCACTCACTCCTACGTCCTATCACATCCTCCACATGAGTGAAGAACCAGAATTTATCACCACAGCAGAGTCTGAGAAATCTCCACATCACAGCCTGATGCACAGAGCTGCTCCAAAAGTACAAGAGAAAACTCAGGTTTCCTGGTTGTGTTTGAGCCTCTGTGGAAGCTGAAGGTCGTTCAGGTCAGTGTAAGGACACTGCAGTACAGACACAAGTACGGTGGCTATCTGAGGATCATTATACTCTAAACCTAATTTGGTGTCAGTTGACACGTTTGTGAATGAGCAGACGTCTCATTCAAATCTCTCCAGTCCCATGCACTTTGAGAGGACGATTATAATAAACTATTAAATGATGTGATTCAGTAAATCAGGCTGGAAAAAGAAGGGACAAGGATGAGACAAAAAAGGAAGGTTCTCCTTGTGAGAACTGAGCATCAGTTGGCAGAGGGAGCTCACGGTAAGGGGGGGGGGAAAGAGAACCAACAGGAGAGAGAGTGAGAGAGAGAAAGAGAACCAACGACAAAGACAGAGAGACACAGACCCACACAGAGAAATACAGAGACAGAAAGACAGAGTCAGAGACACCAGGACAGAGAAAGACAGAGGACCATGGAGGCAGTGAGGCACAGAGAGACACAGAGAGACAGAGGCCCGTACCTTGTTGAGGTTTCCAAATCCCATCCTCTGTATGGCAGATGTTTTCCACTCAGGCAGCGGGGGAACAAACTGCACAGCAGGAGGCTGCTGCTTCAACACCCCCAGAGGCAGAGTGCAGAGCACAGCGTCACACTTGTAGATGAAGGTCTGTGTCGTGGAGCGAGTGTTGACTGCTATCACTTCACAGCCTGCAGGTCAAAATGAATGAAAACAGAATAATATAGAACATTAACGTACACATTTATAGACCGACACAACGGTTCAAAAACAAACGTGCAACAGGTTTTCAGACTGTGAGTCTGAACACAATTCTCCATGAGGTACAACGGTTCAAAAACAAACGTGCAACAAGTTTTCAGACTGTGAGAGTAAAAACCTCAGTCTGAACACAATTCTACATGAGGTAAAAAAAAAAAAAACATTCTCTGAGACTTTATTATGGACAGGAAGGAAGTGTTACATCAGTTTTGAGAAACACCGTGGAGTTCTCTTGGACCAGGCTTATTTAAGTTGGACCAGAACAAACAGTACTACGTTCCGGGACATTGGGCAGAGAGCAACCAAACAACAACCTCCATCTGATGGGTGACTCAACTCAAGTCTTTTATACGGAGAAAATGGGAAAATCACTCTTGCAAAACTGCAACAATTACAATTGTAATTTTCCTAATAATTTAAAACAGAAGCCGACTCCACCCGGTGCTGAACTGGTCTCTGTCCCGGAGTTTCTCCGAGTTTGTTGCAGACACCGTTTACTAGATTGGTTCATGTTGAACAAATGGAATGAGGTTTGTTTGTGGAAGCACTGAGAGTCATTTCCTTGTCATGTCAAATAAAGATTTAACTACAGCACCGAACAACAGACACAAACCCAGCTGTGAGTGCGTACCAGATGCCGTGTATCGGACCTGCCTCACGGCTGTGTTCAGTTTGATGTCTAATCCTTCGGCCAGAGCCACGGGAACGCAGGAGTAGCCGTTCCTCACGGTCAGGTGGCTGCCGGTGAACTCAAAGTCGTCATCCTGTGAAGAAACGAACAACCCGTCATCGCAAGAGGCGCAGTTAACGTTACCTTAAATAAAACACGGCAGCCCAGTCCAACCGGCAGTGACCAATCACACCCAGGAGACTGTGAAGAGACGTTTTGAGAGCACATGTACGGACCTGATCCCAGTGTTTGAGGGAGAGGGTGGAGAGGGGAGTAGCGTTGGCAAACTCCAGGTTGGCAAAGTGCCAGTCTAGAATCTGACGATCCCTGGATGAAAGGTAAACATCACTGTGGGAGACAGACAGAGGGGAGAGACACTGTGACACGTGTTGAGACAGAACAGGAGCAGGTTTACTCATGCAAAAGTGAAAGATGTTTATAATCAGGTAGCATTAAGATCAGCAAGAGGAAAACAGGAAACAGGATTAAGGTGCTGCTAACAGTCAGAGCGTTCCAGTTTGACCCGAGTGAAACTTGGTAAATAATCAGAGTGGCAGCAAATACCTGTCCTAAAGGTACAGAAATCTGTCTGTCTGTATACTGTTACCATCTGAGTTAGGGCGGGAGGGTGAAGTCTAAGATGTACTTTGAAGTAAGGATTTGAATTAGTATTAGATTACATATAACAGTACAACAGTGGGCTCAAACTCATGGCCCGGGTGCCACTTCTGGCCCACGAACCTCTCACATCTGGCCTGTGACTCGATGTCAACAACAATTTCGCACAGAAAAATCCAGTTATTAAAATGATTTAGTTTGGTTATTTAAGAAAGAAGAAAGAACTCTACTGACTGGTAGCACTATACTATTATAATATTTGGCATTCTAAAATATCTGGGGGATTTTGTATTGAATGTAGGACACTAATGTTTCCCTTTGAAATTAACGGAATAGGATCGTTCTGTGTCAGTATGTTTGTTACATGTAAATGTAGGACACTAATGTTTCCCTTTGAGTTCGAGACCTCAAATTAACAGAATAGGATTGTTCTGTGTCAGTGTGTTTGTTACATGTTACTTATTCTATTTAGCATCGTTAAATTTGCAGCAAACGTTTCTTCCACAAAGTCAATACTGAATAACAAAAAGCAGTTGGTACCTGGGTGGATTAGCCTCCAGCTCCTGCAGCTTCTCCTCCAGTTTGACATGACTCTCCACCAACTCATCATACTCCTGCACCGAGAACAGAGGGAAAAACCAAGTTTCTACAAAATATATTCAAGCATTACAGTTAGTTGACTGAAACAAAATCTCATAGAAAACAGTGGTCTTCTCCTCCACCAAACTGCAGTACAAATGGGCCGTGACCTTATTTTGAAAAGGTCATAAGAAGTGAGATGTGAACTGCGGCTAAGTTAGTGGTCCAAATATTTACGGTTGAACTTGGAAGTGAAATTCAATTCAAATGAACTGAAGTCGACACAATGTCCTAACAAGACTAGCTGCAAAGGCCTGAGGCGAGTGTGTGTATCTCCAGACATAAAGACAGTCAGACCGTGATGATGTGCCTTCAAGTGGTTTTTGACACAGCGGATGAGCTGCAGACGAACCCAGTTCAGACACCAGCTGTGTTTAAACCAACTAAAACCTCCTTCTGGAATACACACACACACACACACGCGGCCCTCGTGGAGGTGATTTGTCTGCAGCAGAAATAGAACAGCAGAGTCCGCACTAATAACAGTCCACTGAGGCATTAAACCATTTAAACATAGCTCCATAACAGTCCACTGAGGCATTAAACCATATTTATATGGTACCATATTTACTTGAACAGTGAAGTAGGACATTTTTGTTGAGGGACTTTGGGCCTGAAAGTCCATTTAACACCTCCCTCATCGGCACAGGTCTTCTACAACAACAATCTAATAACAACATCTAATTGTTTACTTCTTTGTTTGGCATCACTGTTATGATGTGTGTCTGTGTGACTCCTGTGTGGTACGAGAGCTCACTTTGCAGAGCGCGGTGAGGTCACGGTGTTTGCTCTTCACCAGGAACTCCGCTGTGATGTCTCTGGGTGGTTTGACTTCACTGGCCTCCTTATACTGCTGGTGGAGCTCCTTCACCCGTTCTTTAGTGGACACCATCTTTAAGGGTCAAGACAAGAGGTCACATTTAAAATGGGGACAAGTCAGAATGGTCAAAACAAGTTAACGTGTGTTACACTAGAACCAGATGCTTTTTTTGAACAATTCAAAAGACGTCAAATCTGACTTAAACTTCCAGATTGACTAAATTTGAATACCAAAATATTTTTTTATGAAAAAATTATTTGCCCTGAGAGTTAATTTAAAGATAAAATACGAAAAAATATAATAAAAAAATAAGGATAGGACTTTTATGCATTACTTTCAAAAAATTAATTACAGGCATAAAAATGCATGTTGTCCTTTTCTTAATTCCCTTCTTTCCTCTTGCCCTTAGCCCCAGTAGAATAAGAGCATGGCCGTGTACAAACGGCAACAAAGAGTTTTCCTCTGTGCAGCTCTTGAGGTCTACAATATTACCTCACAGCAAAACATGTTGCACCAGCGCCACCGTTGGCTACAACAGTTCTGGTACGAGCGAGTGGTATAGCCCACCCGCAAAGAGCCAGTTGTAGACAGATGAAATATTCCGATAAAAAAGGTTTCAAAATCAAATATTTTTGTTGTAATTACTTGTGATTGTTTAATTAATTAACAGGGTTAAAATAGGAAAACTGTTTTACTCACAGTAATATAATAATCACATTTGTGACATTTCTTGGCTGCTTTTTTTTACCATCATGTGGTCAGAGTACAACAAAGCCACTCACAAATACCTGGACCCACCTTGTTGAGAAGGTCTCGGAGTTCCTCCTGAGTTTTTACAATCTTTTTCCAGTGCTCGATCTGCTCGTCTTTCACATGCTTCTCCTGCAGTCTGCACATGCATATAATTCACACAATGGTAAACGCTAGATGTTTCGTTTTAGTGTCTGAAAGCTCGCGTCAGGTTTGCCACACTCACTGGATGACCACCTCCAGCGCCTGTCCCAGAGAAACGGGTTTGTTGTTGAGGAAGTTGAAGTCCAGTTGGTGACTGAGGTAGGAGGTGGCCTCCAGGAGTCTGTTGAACTCCTGCTCCACCATTTCATCTTTTTCTTTTGGCACCTGGAAACACAGTGACCACAATGACAGAGGGCGGCAGCAGTAACCAGAGCAGAGATCCTAACATTTGCATCCATGGCTCACTACGACCAGGCAAAAGCAGCAAAGATGAAACACACCACAGGAAACTCCTATATTTTCACATGCAACAAAAGCTTAACACTTGGTGTTATTTAAAATGGAAATGTCTCTTTTCAAACCCACAGGAAACTATTCCAATGACCTAAACACCACTTTACTCAACTTATATAAATATAGGATGGAACAGAAGAATTAAAATTTACATAGAAGAAAGAAAAGGTTTGTCAACAAGAGCAGAGAGGGAAATGTGCCTTTAAAGAGAGATGAGGTGAGAAGAGTATAATGTAAATAAACCAATACATACACTTGTGCACCGTTCACCCTACAGTAGTTCACCCAAAAGATGAACGTTGAAGAGGTTGAGAAGACAAGGGGGTTGGGGGAGGGAGAGAAAACATATTTAGCACAAGTTTAACCATAAACAGGTTCACACAACAGTAACACATGAGCCTTTAATTTCCCCTTTCCTGCACAGGAGGAAACTAGTTACATATGAAGTCCATGTTTCAAAGCGTGACCTGTTGATCTTCTTATTCAGTAGAAGCCCCCGTAACCTGATCCTAAAAATCCTACCTCGATATCTGACTTCTTATATCCCAATGACGCAATGAATTGGTCCATTTGAAATTAGAAAAATAAAGAGTTTTTCACTATTGACAAACAAGACTAACTAGTTTAATTCTTAAATCCTAAAAAAAAAAACAGATCACTCCCCCGGGGGGCAACAGAGAGCTTGGAGAGCAGCTGTAAACCCCCTCAAACAGAGCACCGACTGAAATCTTTCACTTTTATAAACATCTTCTGTGGCAGGAAGTAAACAACACAAGGTCTGTGTTTGGAGGGGAAAAATGTAATAAAGTGTGTATCTAATGCAGATGCAGCTCTACTCCCCTGGTGGAGGGACGCTTGTTTCTGAGAATAGCTGCTTGTAGGAGAGCTGTTACCTAATGGTGAGAGCTGTTCTCAGTTGAACAGGACAACAGACATGTTTTTCTTTTTCAAGCATGAACTGCCTGGAATTAGTCACATGCACGCCTCTGCTGCCGTCAGCCTATCGCCGTCTATCTGACTGTGAACTCATTTGTTCAGTTTATGAGAAAACCTGGGATTGTTACAAACATCCATTAACAAACAATGGCAGTGGTTAATGGCCACAGTAAGGTTTTAATGACCTGGAGATATTTTAAGCCTGCAGTTGTTAAATGTAAGAATACCACACAGGGCTAGGCCACAGCAGCAGAGGCAGCACTGTTTCTTCACATGATGTTTGTTCATACTCACAGCCTGGCCATTGGCTTCATACAGTGGACACTTCTGTTTGATCTTGGCCAGCTCCATGTTCACCTGCTTACTGACCACCGCCATAGGATTACCTCCTGTGGATGAGCAAATGCACATGAAAGACAATATGGCACTGTTTACACGGACAGGAGCGCCCTCTGTGGGAGGGACTGTGGAAGTGCAGGATTATCAATAAAAGTTTTATTTGTTGATGCAGGTTCTAAAATCAAATAACAGTATTTACTTCCAATGTATGATCAGAAATACAAAGGGAAGTAATGCCTTGAGTACATACAACTGGATATTTGAAATAAACTATAAATCATACCGAGGCCTGTAACCACCATGGCTCCCAGGTCAGCGACGTAGTTGCCCTTCCTAAATGTGGCAACCCTGCCTCCAACACGATCCTGCATACAGAAATTTAATAAAATAAATGTAAGTTTAAGTCAAAGCATTAATTATATCAATATATACTGAGAAACAGCAAAGAATTACAAATCTTGTGAAGTAATGCAAATATATTCAAATAATGGCTGTATGTCATTTCTTTTAAGAACATTTTCACGAATATGATTCAACATGTGTTTTAAAGAAATACATATGAATATGAAGAAAAGATTAATGTAGAAATTTAGCAGGTGACTCACCCGAGACTCCAACACTGTAACGTCCATACCAAAGCTTTGTAGCTGCCTGGCAGCAGCAAGACCAGACACGCCTCCTCCAATAATGATGACCTTTCCGGTTTTTTTAGCTTCAAGACAAATAGAAGAATATTTAATCGCACACAAATTGCGGACACACTCACACTTAATGTTTGTACTAAATGAGGTGACCGGTGTTGTGGGAAAGGTTGTGCAAATAGATACTGATGTTATTATGTTGTAATGAGGTGAACTCACTGGGTAAAGGCTTGACTCTCTTGTAAATCCCAAAGTTAATGAGACCATGTCTTTCGAGATAACTGTGTATCCTGTGGACGAGCACAGCATCACCTAAAAAGAAAAAAAGGTGTTAAATCAACTTATTAATGAGCTTAAAAAGATCATATAAAAAGGGGAAATTAGAAGAAAAAAGGCTTACTGTTGTATGGAGCTTCAAGCTGCTGCGCTGTTGCCTCAAAAGTCAGCTGGATTTTAGGGTTGTCCAGCCACAGTTGTAGCTAAAATAAAATTTGTACAAATAAATAAACAACACTTGATAACAATGCTGTGATTAAAAATGCATTTAGTTTAGAACTGACTGTGCGGTTGCGGATGTAAAGGAAAACTTTCTGCGTCTGCTGGGGACCGCTGATAATATCTGGGAAGCAAGCTGCCTCTTGTGATGTCATTCGGTCATGAGGAAGCCGACTCTGAAAAGCAGCTCCTTCTACACCTAAACATAAATATGAACACCTCTGGCCTGTGAGCTTGAAATGTCAAGCACAAACCTAAAATAATTTTCTTTCATTGTTATTATTGGCTTCGTTTTTCCTTCGACTGCTCCGTTCTCTTACCTGATGGTTCCTCTGGTTCACTGTCATTCTCCTCCTCAACTGGTGGAGCCGGCGGTGGAATCACCTGTTTCCTCTCTTTTTCTGCCTTAGCATTCCTTTCCTCCTCCGAGTAATATTCGTCCTCCGATAGATTGGCCAGGCTCTCGTCCATCTCACGGTACTCCACCTGCAGCAGTAGGCACAATAAAAGCATCATTAAAACCAGCATTAGCGAACCCGGTTGTTTGATCTGCTTCCAGTCAAATTTAGAGCAACATAGTGCAGAGTGTTTTTGTCCAAATATAGAAAGTTTTTCTTTGCTCAGGAGGATGACAGGGAATCAAAATGCCTCAGAGAGACATTAACTAACTAAGTGTCTACTAAACTAAATGTTTGTTTTTTTCAAAAGCGATAATAGCTATTATTACAAGACCTGTCACCTCCTGTAGCAAACAGAACCCTAAAATGTTTACTTTTGCTCGCTTCCGTCGACTTGTCCTACGGACTTCAGCTGAGTCCTGATCTGCCCCCCCAGGGCCAGCCTGGTGGGGCAACGGTGCTCCTCCGGGCTCCCCACTAGGGGAAGACCTTTCTTTCTTTTTGACATCCATGGGTCCTCCAGATGAGGCTGAAGGGCCAGTCTGTGCATCAACCATCTGGACCCTTTCACCCCCTGCTGTTCCTGCAGAGGAGGATGAGGAGGAAGCAGAGCCCGCATCTGACTTCTTGCTAGAAAGCATTATGGAGGATGTCGGAGGCCTCTCCTGCAAAAAAAAAATTGAAAAGTGTGATTAAACGTTCAATGCCAACTAATTTTGATAACATTCTGTATATATTATGTGAAATGGCAGAAATTAAAATTATACAAACATGTTTAACTGATAGGTTAGCAAGATGTTAGATGACATGATGAAGATTGATGAAGGATGTATAAATAAATTAAAAATTAAAAAATAACCATCGTGTCCAGAGATGAATTACTGCACTTTGAAAAGATCCTATTGGTATTGTTGTTTTTTTATAATGCTGTTAAAACATCCGTACAAACCTTTATAAATCATCCGTCAATGTGTTCTTAATGGCGACTATATACAGTACAACAGATACCAAACAACAGCATATAAGTTTTTCGGGGATAGAACCAATTAATGTCTAAATGGTTTAAATATATATATATATATATACACTGTGCATGAATGTCATGGTTTTGTGAAATGACGGCTCCATGGTACAGTAACCTTGTCTTGTTTTACCCATTTCTCGGTGCACCTGGTAATATCCATTCAAACACTAAGAAACGAAGACAGAACCAGAAAAACAATTACGAACAGGAATACTTAAAATAAAAGGTGTTCTGATCTATAACATGGGATGACACAAACTCATTTGATATTGTTATTTGGCGCTGCTTTAAACTCCCTTTTTTAAGCCATTTTTCAAAAATAGAAAACAATCAGTACCCCGGCTTCAGTTTTTCTGTGGTTGTTATCTTAAACATAATGGGCTAACGTAACACTCATTAGAGGTAGCCCAAAGGCTAACGGCAACAAGCTAATGCTAACACATTAGCTTACGTGAGGTAATGGGTTTTGTTTTGTAATGTATAGATCACCTTTGAGGATATGTTTGTCATATTTAGCACAGAAATAACACGGATTGTGATGCAAACGCAATTCTGATTTAGTCTATGTATATTTGCGTGCAATTTGGAATCTGGTGAAGCATGCTACCTTAGCTAACCCGCTAACAATGGATCATGCAAGCTACAGCAGCAGCGGCAGGTGCGGATTTATGAAAAAAGCCGGCTTCGCTTACCGAGAATAAAGATCGTCTAAACTTTACTTGGACTCCTGAACACAGCCCTTTATCAATGAAAGTCACTTATACAAATAAAAACGTTGAAATATTATTATTACCGCTGAAACCCCCGCAGATGTCAACACAAAGACCGCACAGTAACAGGTCCTCTACTCTCAATGAACTGATCACTGATTGGTAGATCGAACATGTAACCTGACACCACAACTCTACTCGATTGGTCTAAATGGCTGCTTGTCTAAAGGAAGGCGGAGTTCGTTTCGACATCCGCTGCTGTTCAGTCAATGAAACAGCAAGTTAAAGTTTCATTTTGTGCTATATACATGTTTTTGTAGAAATGGGAAACATAATGTAATAGTTTACATTCACCTGAAAATATGAATTGTTATTAACGTGGCTGTCCTTGGGTAAGCGCCTCCGCACCTGAGTGGCCCTCCCAGAGAAACTGAAAAGGAGCTTCTTTCCACAGGCCATCAGCGTATCCACCAGAAAATAACACCGCCCTTTTCCTTTTTAGTCAAGAGTAATATTAGTATTTATTTTACCGTATTTTTCTTATTCTCTCTTTGCACATTCTAATGTACATTGAAATTGTTATTTTACTGTCCTGGTACTTGTATATGTGATATTTGACAAATAAAAATTGGACTAAATTGGACTTTTGTATATGTGATATTTGACAAATAAAATAAATTGGACTGTACTTGTGATCACATGTTTCACTTACAGTAACCATCTTGGATTATGAGAGCTTTACACAGCCATCCAAACATAGAGCAAAAGTATCAGAGGATGTTTTTTATAAGATTTCCGACCTCCTCTACCCGAAATACAGCTGGGTACTTGTCCTCAAGCATTAAACTGATCCAAGGTCAGGTATATTTGCCACAGCCCTGTGCTGACGTCATCAGCAGAATAGGGAAGTAGGGTGTGGGTGCACAGGTACAGGTAATC